GGACCATGACATCCCAGAGGCATAAATACTCCAGGTTTTGAGGGAAATGCTGTTTGGGTGCTATCAAAACTCCAGGTTAATCTCACTCTCACTCCTTATGGTAGCCTGTGCTTCTATTTTAAAACAAAAGCCAAGATCATTTCAAGTATAAAATAGTTTGTGAAGTAAATTTAAAATACCTTTTAAAGCAATAATTTGCTTCTTTTAAATTTCTACTTAAAATCATATTACCCATAAAGCATTTGTATATTGAATTTGTATATTTTCTGAATTACAAAAAACACAAAGATGTGCTCTAGCAGAAATTCTAAGTATCCCATTGCCTTTAGAGTCAATCTTTGCTGAAGAGACAAGACAATGGGAAAAAATAACGGGAATCTAGTTTTTCCACTGCAAGTATATATATAACATCAGACACACAGGAATGCTGTATCTCTTCACCAGAACCTGTCATCTTCAAGATCAACTGAGCAACTGAGACAAATCCAGGCCTAGCATGAATGAAGTCTAATTAAGTGGGGTGACCTAGATTTGTAGCTTTCTTTAGAGTCGTTAAGTAGAAAACACAGATAGCTCTGACCATGGGATTGAGTAGGCATGATATATGCTTGTCATGGATTCAGTTGCGTCCCCTCCCTCAAAATTAAGTGTCAACTTGGCTGGGCCTTAATTCTCATGTAATGATGGAGTGAACGCCTATGATGTGATCTGATGTGATCAGCCCATTAGCAGATTATGGTGGGATGCTACACTGTTACTTAGATCACAGTCCTGATCTGACAAACGGTGAGTTTCCCTAGGGTGTGGCCTGCATCACCTTTTATCTTACAAGAGCTAAGAGGAGAGACACAGGACAGAAGAGGGGCACCTAATATCAGCAAGACAGACCAGCAGGGAGCAGAGCGCTGCTTTTGTACTAAGTTCCCTGTGCTGGGGACCTCCTGGAACCAGGAGACACAAAGAAAGCCTTACTCTAGAGCTGGTGCCTCCTCAAACTGTGCCAGCGACTGGTGGGTTTGAATTGCCAATCTTGTGGCTAGCAGTCTAGTGCTTTCCTATAATTGCCCTTTCTATACTGCTTCACTATGAGTAGGAGTAGACTCTATGGCAGTGAGTTTTTGATTCTATGGGAAACTTTGTGGAAAGACAATTAATAAAATGAAAATTGTTTATAATGAATTAAAAGTATTTTGAATCAAATCCAAATGAGTTTCCCTAGAAACTAAGAACAGGTGAAACATTGCTTACCAAATTTAAAAACATTTTATGTTGTTAAGTGCTGTTGAGTTGGTTCCAACCAACAGTGACCCTGTATAGGGTTTCTGAGGAGCAGATGGTGAGCCTGAACCACCGACATTGCGGTTCAAACCAACTTTGCAGTCCAGTGAATTAACCCACAGTGCCACCCCAGGACTCCATTTAGGCTGATAAAAATCCACTGATAACGGACACAGTTCAGGATCCTTTGGAAGATGATGGAAACTCAAGGTTCACGCTCCAAATGCTTTGTGTAAAACTTTGGAATTAAGAGGATCAATTTTCCGGTTTTATAAGACTTCAAGGAAATAAGCTAATCTTATCCTGAAATGCACTCCCCCCTTTCCTTTAGTAAATAGATCGCTAATAGACTGCATTTGCTATCCTTTCTTGCTAACTAGGATGATCATGTGACTAAGTTCTGGCCAGTGAAGACTAAGCAGGAACGAAATGCTGAGTGGGCTTCCAGGGTCTTTTTAAAGGGAGGGAATGCATATTTAAGTTTCTTCCTGCCTTTGGTTTGAATTGCTGATGCAATGGCTAGCTCTTTGGCAGCCTGTTTGACCGAACTGGCAGCTGACAGCTGAGCGATTATGGAGCTGACAGGAGCCTGGGTTCCTGCTGACATGCTGAGGCCACCAGATCAGCCCTGGCCTGCCTCCTGCTGACCTCCTTTTACAAGAGAAAACTAAACTACATCTGCTGCCCATTATTGGTCTACTCATTATCACACATTTTATACTTGTGACAATAGGAAAACATCTACTGACTGTTTTGCATATTAACAATGTATAGCTGGCAATAATGAACGCTGGGTTAAGAATAACACTGGCTGACATGATTATGGTTGACTGGTTAGGAAATCATGACTGGGACATGATTTCTCTGGTTTGGGAGTTAAGGAATAGTGTAGTCATCCTCCATTTTCATGTGATTCCAATTTTCACATAACAACCTGGTCTTTGGAACCGAACTATGTTGATAAGTGAGGAGGGGATAGATCTTATTTAAACCACTGTTATTCATTCATTGGGAAAGGAGGAAGTGTATCAACTGAATCTAATCCTACTCCAGTCTGAACTTCATTAACTATCAGAGCATACTTCTCCTGGAAAACGATATTTAACAAAATAAGATGATAATTTACAGTTATAATTAATTGTTATATTATTCTGTTTTCTCATACAAAATGTGTAATGAGTTATAATAATGATTATTTGCAAAAGCTTTCATGGTATATTAACAATAAATGTTCAATAAATATCAATGCTGTTAAAAAAAATAGTTTAAAAGGTTTCTGCGATTCAGTGGCACACGGTAGCAGCAGAATTAGTGTTTCCCAAAGTAAAGTAATTCTGAACAAGTAAGTAAGCTCTGGTAGCGTAGTGGTTACGAATCGGGCTGCGAACCTTAAGGTCAGCGGTTAAAAACTACCAGCTGCTCCGCGGGAGAAAGATGAGGCTTTCTACTTCTGTAAGGATTTACACCCTTGGAAACCCTGTACAGGGTCGCTATGGGTCGGAACCGACTCGATGGTACATAACAACAACAACAAAGCAACAAGAGCAAACAATAAATTAACATTTATAAAAATACAGCCCTGGATTTGTGGCTGAAAGAAGTTAAACAAACACAATCCTAGCCTCCTAAAATGTATCCGTTTTTGAAAGACAACATGGAATACATGTTAACGTGTAAATCTGCACGGAGTTCTATCAACACTGCTTTGGCACACAGTCACAAGTATTTTAGGTTTAGATGTTTGTCTATGCTGTTTTGTTTTTTTTTTTTTGTAATAAAGCTACAATATTTTGTAAGATATAAGATAATGAGAAGAGAAAGTATTATGAATTTGTGATGGAATCAACTTTGGTTTCTTATGCAACTCAGTTTTCTGCTATTTAGAAATATGAATAGTGGTAGAGGGAAGCAATTGACTTACCAAAGCACTGCAAGAGACGGTCCACATTATGTAGGAATAATGCTTTTTAACAGTGTTTGATTAGGGAGACATTAGGAACTTTGCCTCGAATGCCATTAGCAAATCTATCTAGAAGACTTTATGCTTCATCATAAAACAAGCAGGAATGGAAGACACCCTAAACTGCTTAGTATGCCAATTTGCCTCAGATAGTGCCATATAAGCGGCTTTCAGGAACCAGTAATGAGTTCCATAGATGTTTCAGGATAAAGGGTTGAAGAACATTGTTAAAGGTAAAAATGCCCGAAACCATAAGACAATCAAAACTACATTTTAGTTTGGAGTGAATTTTTTTCTTCTTCTATTTTCAAGTTAAGTTTAAGTTATACTTTCTAAATTAGCTCTAGGAATACATGGGTGTAATAAGTTTTCTGAACATGGTCAAATTATGAATTCAAACTGAGGCTTGATTTTTTTCTCTCTGAAACAAGGAACCCTATAATAAACAAGGGGTTCATGGAAAAATTCCATTATCTTTTCATTCCATTTTCTGCAAACTTTTTGAAGTCCCCTCATAGAGTAACTATAAGCTCATCTGAATAGGTGATTGAAGTTTTAAGTCATTCTGTTTGCATTCCATCCTGAAATCAAGTCTAGCCATCTCTTAGTCTTTCATTTTTGCCAAGAATAAAAAAATAATAGAAACTCAAAATATATTAGGAAAAGATCTCACAGTTTAGGACCGTATGTATTAGCAAAATGTGGCAAACAAGAGAAAAACTAAAGACATCCATTCATTGTCCTGTTTAAATTCAAATCTTTGTTTTAAATAAATAGTAATTTTTAAAAATGAGATTAATCTACTAACACCATACCTGGACACAGCAGCTGCTCAGTAAATGAGTTGTTATAACTTTCCTCTTAAAGCAAAATACTTTCAATTCTCATCTTAGTATTTCTTGAGCTAAGTTTCTACAATCCACAACAGCATCAAACTGAACTACAGTGAAGCCTGTGAGAGAGCCAGCACTTTATAGGCCTCCCATGCTTTTCTGGGTCTTACAAGTTTTCGACCTTTGACAGGGTACAGTTTTACCCCCTTTCTAGCACTTGTTTTAGTGGAAAGATTTGAATTTTCCATCTCTGGTAGGTTTCTGCCTTACAGAGGTTCCAACTTTTTGCAGGTTTTACTGTTGGATGACAGTATAACCTGCAAAAACTTGCAAAGTTTGTGGAAGGATGACTAGATATAATTTAGCCCATTCCTCGTATTTAAAAAAAATATATTGGCCTTCAACATTCTTGAGATTATTACTTTGCTGATTTTGACTCTTTTATAACTTAATTGGAGTCCTGGTGTGGTACATAAGATAAGCTCTGTACTGTGAACCACAAGGTCAGCAATTCAAACCCACCAGTTGCTCCTTGGAAATCCTATGTAGTGTCGCTATGAGCTGGAAACGACTCGACGGCACTAAACAACTAGAACGAGAATGACCCCATTATTTGCTGTTTTGAAGTTTTTGTTGATAGCATATGTTTTCAGTAATACAAAGCATACAGAAATAAATTTTAAGGGAAATATGGATTATGTGTGACACAAGGGTCCCAGTGGATTTTGGTTGTAGGATTGGGGGAGTGGGGCCCACATCTTCAGATTCATATAAGTAGCAGATAGCAAACTTGAAAGGCTGAAAATGTTGATGATTTCCGGAAGTAGCTACTCAATACAATGCAAGAATCCCTTAAGGGCGGACAGAAGCCCAAAGGGAATGCTTTGACCACACAAACACTTTTTAGGTCAGTTCATAGTCCTTCGTACCTGACCAACCCGTGTAACAAGTGCCATCCCGAGGGTCTGCTGACTTTAGGCCTCTCTCCATTTGCTGAAGAAGTTCCCGAATCTTATTGTTCAAGCGTTGTGAGAACTCAGGGGTCAGCTGTAGATATTAAAGGGAAAACAAATATAAAAAAATGTGGACCACTCAACTTCTGGGACGACAGACTACCAAAAATAGGAGAGTATTCCATTTCTACTGAGGCTACACTTTTCTGCCTGGGAGAACGAAATTAAAAAGACATGTTTTCTCATTCAAGGCACAAAATATTGTTGTAGCTCAAGTAGAAGAGTGTATCTACATAAGAAAATGTTATCTTCTGTACACCGATCATGTATAATTTATCATCTTGCTTGGCCTTTCCTCAAGAGATCAAGAATGTGAATGCCTTAGGAAGGCAAGGGTATTTCCTATTTGAGCTGCCTGAGAAAATGGATGGCTTGTGGCAGACCACCAGTTAGGTGTGGTGCTGTAGGATAAGCTATGGACTGCTAACTGCAAAGTTGGGGGTTCAAACCAACCAGCTGCTCTGTGGAAACAGGTCACTATGAGTTGAACCTCACTGGACAGCACTTAACAACAGCAGCAGTAATAATCTGAAGAACCTCTAGAAGCTTTTTCTGATTGGATGACAGAAAACAGCCAATTTTCCTCATTGAAATCATTGTACCAACAAATGAAGGACCTGTCTCTCTGGTGTACAATTGTTTGTGTTCAACTGTAAACAATTTTAGAACTGTTATGGCAATTTTTATCTAGTTTCTGGACTCTCAAAAAAAAAAAAGGCAATAAATTACATTTTTATTCTTGGATCAGGGAACACTTGTTGAAATTTATGAATTCTTTTTATAAGTACCCTTAGAAATAATGAGCTAAATTCATAAAAGCATTTACGCTCTAAGTGGCTTAAATAGTGAGCTCCATTTTATTCAGAGTTTGTATCATTAGGACACATTCTCAAGTGCTCCTTGTCAAGTTAGCATGTAGCAACACGTCCATCTCCAACAAGAAAAGACATATACTTCAGCTCCAGCATTTGTAGAGCTAGGCAAAACGCAGCTCCAAATGGCCCAAAGGAAGCTGTCTGACCTCAAAATAACTATATCAGGATTTTACTTGGGCAGGTCAGTTGTTGTTGTTGTTAAGTGCCGTCGAGTTGGTTCCGACCCATAGCGACCCTGTATAGGGTTTCCAAGGCTGTAAATCTTTACAGGAGCAGAACGCCTCATCTTTCTCCCACGGAGCGGCTGGTAGTTTTGAACTGCTGGCCTTAAGGCTTGCAGCCCGATTCGTAACCACTATGCTACCAGAGCTCAGTATTGGTCTTAAAATAAGCCGATTGCCACTACATCCATCCATATGCACTTTGGCAAACTTCTAGCCTACCTACACCCCTTGTCCATCTCCTCATTATTCGTATTACTGACCAGAGTGAATCAATAATGAAGTGTTTGAAGAACAGAGCCACATAAAGTTAACTTGACAGTTAAGGAATCTGTAAAGCTATGATATCACCTGAGAACTGTTTTTTGTATGAATGGCAAGTTGAGAAAAATAAGCTGGTAAAATGAAGAACTATTGTGTGCTAAAAGTTAAGAGATTAACTTGTTGTTCTTGTTGTGTGCTCTCCAGTGAGTTCTGACTCATAGAGACTCTGCATAGGACTTCCAAGGAGCTGGTGGGTTTGAACCACCGACCTCGTGGCTAGCAATCCAGTGCTTATCCTAAAGTGCCACACTAGGTGTGCTTAAGAAGGATCTCTAGTAGCGTAGCGGTTAAGAACCGGGCTGTGAACTGCAAGATCAGCAGTTTGAAACTACCAACTGTTCCACGGGTACAGCCTCGGATACCCTGTACAGGGTACCCTCTCTATGAGTCGGAATCGACTCCACAGCCAAATTCTGTCTTAGCAATTATGTTCACCCAAGCAGGAATAAGAAAAACAATTTCTTGCTTTCAGAAATATCTCCTAGCGTTCCCATGTTTAAAAATTTTTAGACTTTCACCGCCAACTTTTTCTCCCTTGGAGCAATTGGTGTTTTCCAACCACAGACCTTATGCATAGCAGTTGAGTGCTTACCACCTCACCACTAGGCTACTGGTTATCTCCTATCCAGGTTGTCTTTTTTGTAAAGTGGTTTGTGAGATAATTTACTCCTTTCTTAAACTCTGAGGATGTCCTGGGAAGAGTGTTAATTTCAGGCCTGTCTCCTCCTTTGTCTTTACCTGGTCTGTATCTGACCTTCCATAAATATACACAATCGTAAAAGCATACGTGTAACTTCTATTAGGATTCCTTGCTCTCTTTATGAAGCAAACCAAAATGGATGGAAAACCCAAGATAACACGGTATAGTGAATATCCACTGTATATTATCAACAGCTAGCTATGGTTATTCCCTCAATTAACAATATTAACGACTGTTTTTCTCAAAGAAATTCAACGTTAGAGTTCTAATTGTATATTTTAACAGTATTTTCTATATTTCAAAACTGTACCTATTTTGAAAATGAATGCTCATCCCTTTCTTTCAGGCAAAACTAAGGTCTTTTCTGGACACTAGAGGAGGTGGGGATGGATGTAGTTATATTCCAAACTCACCCTGCCGGCAGAATCAAAGTAGCCTTCGGCCAGGGATTTGTTATAATCGGCATAAGGATTCGGGAAGGCCCTTTGAGCCATGACGCCGGAAGCGAGCCTGCAGAACAAGGGAAAAAGAGAGTCCAGGTTGAGATGGGGGTCTTGGAGGAGCTGAGAGGGCGGTGTCAGGCGCCCGGGCAACACCACCTTTCCTCTTGCTCCCTGACCACCGCGCCGTCTCGGCGGTCCAAGTGGACCCCTGACGCATCGTGGTGGAACCCCTGGGGCGCAGCGCCACCGCGTAAGGGCTGCCAGGGCCCTGCACCCACCGGGATAAAAGGGACCCGTTTTGCACCCCAAGCTCCCACGCCTGCGATTTGAAGCACGCAGAGCTACGGCTTCTAGAAACCCAACCAGGCCGGGACTCTCACCCTACAGCCTCGGACAATAATAGAAGCGCGCTTTCACCGCCCACTTCCTGTTAGAAGAACCAATCAGAGTCTTCGCAACACCAGAGGCCCACCCTCTCTCACTTGCAGTTTGTTAAAGAGACAGGAGTATGATATCTAAAGGATAGTTAACAGGGCAATTTAATTCTCGGATACCGGAGTGGGTACAAATCTTAAAATAATATGAAAATGTGACAGATATTCCCTTCTTTTTTAATTTTTATAAGAAAACAAATTCAAGTCCAGGTGATTCGTAATTTTTGTTTTTTAATCTGTTGTTAAAAGTGCTGTCGAGCCCATTCTGACACATAGAGACCCTGTATAGGGTTTTCAAGGAGCAACTGGTAAGCTTGAACCACCGACCTTGCAATTCAAACGACTTTACAGCCTGACACAGCCCACAGTGCCACACCAGGACCCCTTTATCTAGAGAACGAAAAATGCTGGTTTGATATCTGTACATATATTTCTACTGTTTGGCTAAATGAAACTGGAAAGGGTAATTGATCTTTAGAGAACTTACAAACTTTTTCATCTGTTCAAAACAAAACAAGCACACAGGCATGAAACCACCATCACCATTAAGAACAAAAATGAAGGTACAGGTAGTTCTCAGGTTAAGGACCACTTGGCTAATCCATCTCATTGGGGGTCTTCCTCTTTTTCTCTGACCCTCCACCTTACCAAACATGATATCCTTCTCCCGCGACTGGTGCCTCCTGACAATGCGTCCAAAGTATGAGAGAGAAGTTAGGCTATCAATATAAATCTTTACTGGAGTAGAAAACCTCTTTTCGCTGGAAATTGTTTTATGAGTTGCTATTGTTTGTTGTTAAGCACTGTCGAGTCGGTTCTGACCCATAGCGACCCTGTATTGGGTTTCCAAGGAATGGCTGGTGAGCTTGAACCACCGACCTTTCAGTTCAAACCGACTTTGCAGTCTAGCGCATTTACCCACAATGCCACACCAGGACTTCTTTTATGAGTAGAAAGGTACATATATATTATACACCAAGACAAACATTTGGTCAGCAAATAGAGAGGAATAACACCTGCTTAAGATTTATGTACAAATTCAACTTAAAACAGACTGACGAATGACACTCATTAGTAATCCAGGTACCACCTGCATCATGAAAAGAGGAATAACATGCAAATTGGTAATAATTTATTCTCAAGAGCACTCAAGAAGTAATACTAAGTAAGGCCCCCAGGATAGGATATCAAATGGCGATTGATAAAACTTCAATGAAAATACAGTAAAGTCTGTATTCTGTGAAAGCCAGAACTGGTGAGGGGCAGAGTTTTCAGAGAAGGAAAACTCAAATATTTCCCAGGAAGAGGAGCGACAGAAAAGTGCTAAACATTCACTTGTATGGGAAAACAAACAATAGCTCTTAAGAAATCTGTTCCCTAGCTTAAATCGTTCTATAATTCTAAATGTCGACCCCTTAAAGAAATAAAGAAGACAAAGGAAGTAGAAAAGTCACAATATTCAATGTCCACATTTAACAATCTCTACGATCTGAAAAAATTCCCTTTCTCTTAAACTTAAGTCCTACCTTGTACAGATTAGGCCCATTCGGTTGCTCTAAGAATTTTGGAGTTCAGTTTTAAAAGTCTGAGAGTCAGTTTCTCCTCACTTTCCTTTCCTCCTTTCAGTGTGGGACACTTGTCCCAAACCTTCGATTGTAGAAGCTCAATCTTGCCTTCCATGTTTGTCCCTCGGTTGTTGCCATCCCAAATTCTTACTTCTGATTCCACTCTGGATCAGTGTGTGCTTCTTAACTGTTTTTAACTATTGGACTCCCAGGATACTTGTTAGTGTCTTTCTTTTCTTCACCATAGTCCAGGAAATTTCGTAGAGGCCCTCAGTGAATCTTAAATTAGATGAGCTTCATATTTTAAAACATGAGTCTACAGAGGCAAAACTTTATTAAAAGAAAAGAAGTAAGTATTTTTCTATAATTATTAAAGGCTTAACATCAGTTTATCCCAAGCACAATCTTTATGTAAACAATTAGAAATGAGTGTGATATTTAAGTAAATTCACGATTAACAAGTGGCCGCAGCAATGGGCTCAAAATTAAAGATGTGAGGATGGTGTAGGATTGGGAAGCCTGACGTATATAGGGTTGCTGTGAGTCAGAACCAACTTGAAGGCACCTAACAATAACAACAACAACAAAGGAAGTATATAGTATCATAAAGGTAGAATTTGCTTGAGTGAAAAAAAAAGAGTGGAAGAGGAAGATGAGGGAAAGTTAGAAAGCAGGGGTACTCCTGATGGCACCATGGGGACTGTACCATTGGTGGTTGGAACCAATTCAGATGCTCTTCTTCTCGATGGGCAACCGATCTGACAGTTTGCTTCCTTAGAGAATACAGCCTAGAAGAATGAAGTCCTTGGCAACGTCAATCTTTTCTCCATTGATAAGAATGTTGTTTATTGGTCCCGTGGTAAGGATTTTTGTTTTCTTTACGTTGAGATGTAACCCATACTGAAGGCAGTGCCCTTTGATCTTATCAGTAAATGTTTTAAGTTCTCTTCACTTTCAGTAAGCAAGGTTGTATCATTTGCATATCTTTTTGTTTTGTTTTGTTTTGTTTTTATTGTGAATTGAGTGATACTTTATATGGGAGAACATCAGTTTTTATACCCTCCTATGGTATTTTGTTTCATTGCAATGATTACAGTCCCTTCTGTGCATCATCATTCAACAGTATTTGCTTCCATTCCCTCTGGTTTTTGGATGTACACAAGAAGACTTGGGAATATATAATCATTTAAATAACCAAAAGGCACATTGTGCAAGCCAGCATCCTGGCCACCAGCACACAGCCTTTCTCTTTCCATGAGTCTAGAATCCTCAGCTGCTCTCTTTCTTCATGTCATCATCTCTGCATCCATCTCTGGTGTCATTGTTTCTCTGGGTAGGGTCCCATATTCTGCTTGTGTTCTTCTCCTTAATGGTCCTAGGGTCCTCTGTTTCTGGAATGTAAGATTAACTACACCCTGCCCCCTTTTTGTTACAAAACTTTTAGCTTTATACTTGTGACAATTGGATTTAGTCTTGATAACAGTTACTTACTATTGAATCATAAGAATCTTATCTCCATCTTCTTTCACCAGACCTGTCTAGACAAGATTAAAACTATTCAGTGGGGATTTTACTTTCCCCCACACACTCTGAAACTCCCTCTTGAAAACTTGTAAGTCAGTCACTTTGTGCCTTTATAGCTCCCCACCCCCGCTCTGTTTTAGGTAGCTAGTGAATAAATTGCCTATCCCTATCAACCCTGTATACAGGGAGGATAGGAATGATACTTGATGTTAAGACTCCTTCCCTCTCAGTTGGTATTTTGAGCTACTACATCCATAAGTATAGATCAAGTTCATAAAATTGAAGCAATTTACACTTGCTTCCTTTATCAATTTTTTTTAATGTCTTCCTCTAGTTGATTACTGACTCTAGATCTTTGCACATTTTGTTGTAATATTTGACTTTGATCTAAAGTCAGAAAACTAAAAGGAAAGAACACACAGCATCTCGCAAGCTGGGAAACTGAAGAAAAAAATTCAAGCCTCAACTTTTGTTATTGAAGGATTCTGTGGGCAAATTATTGAATGATGCAGAAAGCATCAAAAGAAGATGGAAGGAATACAGAGTCACCGTACGAAAAGGAAATGGTTGATGTTCAATCATTTCAAGAGGTAGCATATGATCAAGAATCAATGATACTGAAGGAAGAAGTCCAAGGTGCATTGAAGGAATTGGCAAAGAACAAGGCACCAGGAATTGATGGAATAAAAATTGAAATCTGGGCTTCCCATGAGATTTGCCTGTTAATACCTTTTTGCCCATTTTTTAAAACCAGGTATTACAGTTTTTTTTTTTTTTTTTTTTTTTTCTTGTTGATTTACAGGAGTCATTGTTTGCTTTTGTTTTACTTGGTGGAGGTGGTATATTTTGGGAGTACATGGATAATGCAAATGGTTAACACTTGGCTGCTAATCAAATGGTTGCTGATTTAAGTCCACCCAAATCCTGAAGTCCTGGTGTGGCGCTGTGGGCTAATGCATCAGACTGCAAAGTCATTGGAACTGGAAGGTCAGTGGTTCAAGCTCACTAGCTGCTCCTTGGAAACCCTTGGAAACCCTTGCTGAGTCGGATTCAACTCAACAGCACTTAACAACAACAAATACTTCTGAAAAATCAGCTATTGGAAACCCAATGGAGCCTAGTTCTGCTCTGACACACAGGGGTCATCCTGAGTCAGAATTGCCTTAATGGCCACAATTTGTAACTGGTATTCTATAATTCACCCCCTTCGGCTTTATATATTGCTGGTATCTTCTTTAGTCTGTTAACTTCATGGTCTTCTTCATTGAACTACAATCCTTTGGTTTGCTGTAGTTAAATCCATCAAGTTTTGATACTATGATTTCATGATTTGCAATCAGAAAATATTATTCCACTCATAGGCTGACCTCCTACATTTGATTTTATTAGTGTCTTATAATTTACACTTAAATCTGTAATCTCTCTGGAGTTCATTTTTGATACAACATAAGGCATGGATCCAACATTATTTAGGGAAGGGAGGTAGAGTTGTTATCCGAAGCTTAAACATAATCAAAGCATGAACACGTATTCTCTTAGTTGGAAAATGAACCAAGCATTTGAATTACTGGAAATCATACAGAATTTCATTTTCTTTGCTAGGCACCCAACACAGAGCCCCTCCTTGACTGCTGAGCAAAAGAAAAAGTCGTTGAAATTAAGAATTTATGCTCTCACATGTGGCCATCGTGGCTGAAAACATTTGTTAGTAAAACAGATTTGAATGTTGATGATTTCTCAAGAACCTTTCCTTTTAATATAATTAGTTTGATTTTCTTTGAAAAAAGAAATTGTAATGTTTCTTTGAAATCTGTAAATTCTTTGCTGAATTTGTCATTCCTTATATATACTCTCTGGACATAGCAATCACATTAACAGCAGATCCTGA